AATACATGGGTATCCGCATTCGAACTGATGAGATCACCAGGCACTCTGAGTTAAGAAAAGTCTATCCCTAGATCAATGCATCGAAATCTGCTTAAGCGAGACGAAAGCAGCCCAGTAACTCCAACCTTTGCGTACGGAGGCCACAACATAGCTTTGTGCGGTAGCTAAGACCAAAGGATCCCCGTCCCAGCCACTCGATGGCCGAGAGCCAAGTTGCCAATGTTGTGGTCGCAGGCATCCAAAACGAATGGGGAGCTGTCCAGCCTGGGGTCGCAATCGCACCGTCTACCAAGAAAAAGTATTTTGCCCTGTGTTGTCGATCGATCCACAAATGGTCAGTGGACAGTGTGTTATGTCCCCAGGGGTTCGACTTAGCAGCTTCTTAGATTGCGCCACGCGGGTCAAAAGACAACGCACCGGACGAGAAGTATATTTGCGAAACACTGCACGGGCCGACATGGGTATGAAAACACACTGATTGCAGTTCAAAGCACGGCTGTGTTAATTTGAATTTATCGATCTCAAAGAATCACGGGACGTGTGAGTGGTGCGAAACAAGCGATAGTAACAAATGTTCTGCAACACAGAAAAACTCTAGTCTGCTTGTAACTGAGACTGTTCTGATACAAGGCACCCGGTTACTTGGGGAAATTGCACACTTAACTTCCCGAACAAGCCAATTTGTTTCGCTTTTGTGCGCATTTGACTTTGGTCTGACCTAACACAGTGAAAGCCAAAAAAGCAAGAATTCACAACTAATAACATGGAATATCATGCAAGTCAGAAATGCATCCTCTCAACAGTGTTGATCTAAGGACGGCCAGTTCTTTTTCAACTTGATTCAGGAGTCATTAATATACTACCCGATAAATATTATGTCGGTGTGCAATTCAGGGTAACGTGGAGTTACCACAAAAGGTGGAACGGCTCGAGGCTGTGGTCAAAATGGAGCGCCATTGTGACAGCTGTTAACTCGAAGAACGGAATGGAACACCAGCTTGACTTCTTAATTGTATCAGCAGAACTTACGGTCATCTTGGGCATTAATTCGATCCAGCACCTTGGTCTTATCTCCTTTAATCAATAGCGTTATGTTCATCCGTGTCAGGCTACCGCATTGTTGATTGCTACCCTAGCGTGTTTGATGGGGCTATTGGAAATTCGAATGATGTACTCATTTGCACTCATTTGTGAATGCCGGTTGGAATACCAGAGAGCGGTCCTGGAGCAAATGTACCAAATGCTATTCGCACGACCGAACATACCAAATTTTACAACGTGCGCACCACTCCAGATCCTAACGTACCCGATGAAGCGCGTCGTGGTATCCAGTAACGTTGGTGTGACTCGGAGCGTAGACGAGTAAGGCCGAAATGCCCATTTTTCTCATGATAATCTAAAATAACTAGACAGGTTACAAAATGCCGGGGAGGAAGCAGTATCGGATACTTGGTGTCGTGTGCAATGAAGAGGCTTCAGTGCTAGGGGATATCAATGGTACTGTGACTCCTACGGAACTCACATTGCTCTTCCGCCACATTCAGTTCCACTACCTGACCGACGAGGCGGTTGAGCAGGATTCGGGCAATCAGCTTGACCACACAACAGCAAGTTGATACAAAGATAAAACAAAGCTCATTGCTTGCATCTTATGCCCTTGTGGTAGCACAAGGACATCCTTCAGCTCAGGAGGCACCTCCCCATCAATCCAGAAGCGTTGCACCAGCTAAGACAGCGCATTTACCAAAGCGGGTCTGTCGTGTTTAACTAATTCAGGCGGGATCCCGTCGGCACCAGCACAATGTTTCGCGGCTGATTTAGTGCTCGCTGTGTTTCTTCCAGTGTCGGTGTGTCATCCAGGCTCCCCTTCACCTCGTGCTGCTTCAGGCCGTTCATTGTAAGCCAGACAATCCCGGAATGGTTTTTCAAGAGACAGTCAAAGTGTTTTCGCCAGACCTGTGTTATGTCTGCAGTCTGTGTGCAGGTAGCACATGAACTATCATCGATTAGCGTCCTGAGAGGCTCCAACCTCGGTCCATACACCGCCTGCAAGGAGTCAAAGAATCCCTTGTGTTGGCGGCGTTTGGTGTAGCATTCCATCTGCCTCACCTACTCCGTCCACCATACATATTTATTGAGACGGAGCTTTCGAGTCAGTCGCCGTAGAATTCTGCAAAACTGACTCAACTTCCACAAGTCATTCGGGTCTGCCAAATGTGAAGCAAATGCTGCATTCTTCTCCGACACCAATGCGCCACTCCTCGTATTCTTCCCATCAAACTAATCGGGTCGCTTACAGTTTGCGCGCCATATGGTCTCCTCGGCAGCAGCTGTCACCTTGTCGCGAATGTGGCGCCACAGGTAGATCACTGTGGCTATGCATTGCACATCACACAGGCGTGCAGCCATCGCCTTCTCCAGCTCAATAACTCTCCCCACAGTACCGAGGGAGATAACGAAATGTACGCTTCTGATTTACAGCAGGCACACAGTACGTACTTTTCCGCACGTGAATGTACACTTTTGTCCGCACCAACTTATGATCACTGCTACATTCAGCTCCACGCACAACAAGTGTCATGTGCACTTCACGCTGACGTACGATGATATAGTCGAGCAGGTAAGCCTGACCACTCTGTGGATGTATCCAAGTTGCTGTATCACTCGCATTCAGTGCAAATCAAGTTTCGTGATCGTCAGGCCATGAGTGGCACACAGTGAGGGCAGCATGTCACCGTTTGCATTCGCTGAACCAATGCCATGCGAACCGACGCCATCAGTCTACATCGATGCATCACGACCAACGCGCGCGTTGAAATCACCCAGCAGCAATAGTCGGTCGCTCCTCGGCACAGACCGTATCACGGAGGATAACTGAGTGTGGTACTGAACACGCGTGCCATAAGGATAACACATCGTGAGGCCATCCGTGCATATAAAAGTGACCAACTTATCTCCTCCAAGTCGTAGATGAACACTTATCAGTCACACGCTAATACCAGTGGGCTCCGCCACCAGCGGGCTATTTAGGCTTACCGGATAGTGCAAATCCGACCCCATGTCCATGTTTAAGTGACGTTTTCCACCCAGTGGAACATATAACCGGCACCAGCTTTTTGCAGCTTACCTTGCTCGGCAAGCCGGGTCTCGCTGAGCGCTGCGTTATCGATGTTGTAGCGCACCAGTTCCACCTGGACCAGTGCAGTATGTTGCTCGGGGCACTCACTCGAGTTTCGATCGAATAGTGGGCGCGTGTTACATCACCCGATGTTGAGTGCTTTGCACGCAGGCATACGATTGTAGTGGTGGGCAATGGCATGTGTGGTGGCGGCTGTGTTTCGAAGGTTTGCTCGAGGGACTCCACCCGGAGCCTTTGGCCCAATAGCCTGATCCACAATGCAGTGGGGAACAGATCCAGCTCGGGAGTGTGGTTGCAGAGACCCATTGAGATCTGCTTGAGATCTGTTACCCATAGCCTTTGAAGATTTGGAACCATGCGCATGTTTTCACGACGATATTATGTTACGCACCTACGACGAAGGTCAGCCGCAGGTGGGCGTTGCCGGATTTGCACATGTTGACCAGAGGCTGCCTGGTTTGAGGTGGGCGATAGCAAACTATTAAGCACCAGAAGATTCTCTCCAACCGTTTGGGACAGTACATGGCGATCGTGCTCTACACCAATCAAGCCGTGAGCATATAACCCGTAGACCTGTTGTCTCCCATAGCCAATTTTTAAAGGAAGGGTGCCATTAGCCTATTCCTAACTTCCGACGAGGATGGGTTTGGATTACGATACTGGCAGGGCACCCACGCCTAATAGAAGAAAGTCTCGGGTCCGCAGCCATAGCCTTCGGTAACAAGCAGGGAGGCTCCTCAATGCTACCGCACGCCACTCAACTATGCACTGATGATGTCACCTCGATTGGTGACGAAACGTTTGCAACAAATTTGACAAGCTCAGCGAACAGTTCAACCGCCATCTGAACAATCTGAGCTATCAGTCTTCAATTCTATAGAATAAACCTTCACTTTTAGGACGCGTCTGTTAGTTTTTTGTTGCACATTGCAAAACAGCATCGTTGTGAACAAACGTGGGAATTAATTATTTCACAGTCCTCATCACCCCCGTCGAAATAGCTAGGATTGAAATATTAGCTCCATACATTTCGGATCCAAGTATTAATTGTGTTGTCTTGCGAGCTACACGTGTATCATCGTTTCAGCCACCGTTGCTCAGTGTTATTCGCTAAAGATTCCCTATTCGAAGTAAACGGAGCTTAAATACACCAATAAGCTGAGCTGTCCATTTACAATAATCAGCTCTGTGTTGTACTATAGCGCATTGTAATAATGGTCCTAATTCCATGTAGAATTTGTCCTGATTCGTGTTGAACACTTGCATTGCTTATCAGTACATGTAAGATCCCTGCACTATCGTATGATGGACAGTGTGGCTCGGTAGTAATAGACAGTATAGTACAATATTTCACCTGCAGCATATGACAAAAATTCCTTCACTACTGATAAGCAAAAATATGGTCATCCACTGTTGATTCAAACTCATCGCTGATGTGCAAAGCTAAGGTCACAGTATGGGTCACCAGCAAAACCGAATTGACATTGGAAAAGGAACTTAATGCGTTACACAAAGTGAACACCTCTAAATAACTCCCCGGTACTTAAAGCTATTGATTGTAGTCTGCTTAGCAATATCGCAGATGCGTCAAGAGGTTATGGCTTACATGACAACAAACCGAATCAGTTAGAAGGTGGATAGGGTTATTATTTATATATATGTGACGTCCTGCAAGTAGTGCGATGTGGCCTAAACAGAGTAGTGACAAAAGCTTGGGTATCTGAAGAAGTAGGGCAATATGCTTACCGGCTTTGTTCAGTCACCGAAGGCAGGATACACCATCCTCGAGACACAACTACTCTGTTCTACCACAGGAGAGTTTCCCTACTGAGTGCCCCAATTTACTCTCCTTACTTCACAGTTGAATGTGACGTCAAGAAAGCAAACAGATTCATTCACTAAACTGGCGGACCCACACTCCATATTTTCTACGAAGCCATCAATATTTTGGAAAACCCAGCATTGGCAAGAGTTTGCCAAACGCACAACCGTTGAAGAACACCAGAAGCGTCGTCTTAGATTACGCATCGAACAGGATGTTTTTACATCGTTCTGCGTGCTCTACGCCTTGGCGCACCTGACGTTCATATTTTGGCTATATTTTGATGTGAGTTAACATTACATTTGCTTATATGGCGAAAGTCTACCGTTTGACCAAAAGAGTGGACGGAACTTTCGCTGTCTGCATTCTTCTCTTGTTTGTGTCTACTGCCTTATTACTAGTCAGAACGCAGGCGGAAATATGATAGAATAAATCAATATGTTTAAATGCTGATAACTCACAGATTCGTCACTTTTGGAGCTGCAATTTAAGTCCTTTCAGAATCACTAGGCAACTGAGGCACATTACAAACCACCAAGCAAAAAACCCTGTAGATCCGAAAATAAATAAAACCACAGGTAGTTTTTGTCATTAGCTACAAGAGAAGTGGCCACTAAAAACAGCCAGGAAGCAAGTACAATAGGATATTAGCAGATCGCTTAAATTAAAACATGGACTAGCAAGCTTTATATACAACTCAATGGGTCAGCCGTTCTAGTAGTAGACGCCTTCCCGTTTATTTTAACTTGTTACCCAATCAGGAAACTAACATACATTAAATTCATGTACTTTCCGGTCATATCTAAAGGTACAAAGCGGTGCGCCCTCACAGTAAATCCATGTTAATTGATGCATCTCAACAGACGATACTATCGACATACAAGGTCGGATGGACCCAACTCTGCGTAAAACGAGTTTTGTGCAGTTCTGTTCACGGTGGATGCTGAGCCCACCTCAAGTCCCATTGGGTCATCCCAACTTCTACGTTACATTGAAACCAAGATGGATTGTTAGATACCTGTTATCAGAAGCGATGTAAGTACAAAAATAGAGTAGGTTTACTGAATACGGTAAAGTAGATAACGGTCGGAGGTGGTTCGGTGTTGCTCCTCTCAACACTAGGAGGAGCAACGCCGAACCACCACCAATTCGGATGCGGTACTTGCGATCGTAATGATCGAGGTCTAATTCAAAGTGAACAGAGATCTGTATAGAGATTGCGTGTCGCAATAAAGCAAAAATGCGCGTACTCCAAATGCAACTTCCTACATGGTGGTCGCTTTAAATTCTAAACGATATAACCAAGGCGAGGTGCTAACCCTTCATCAGAGCATGATATTAAACGTGTGCCTAATAACAAGCTGTAAGCAAGATTAACTATTACATACTTTGAAGTGCATGTACATGAGACTTATGTATCTAACTTTTTTAGGCCAGCAAACGTCGCCGTGAGATGGTCGAACGGGATCGGCACTACAAGGTAGGCGGTGAGGATTATCTACACCGGTGTCTTTTGTAATGGTTACTTGATGCGGCACGAACAATGCTCGACTGATAAAACTGCAATTTTAGTAAAATGTGACGAGGGAAGTACAGCTGTTGAAAAATAGTTCTGTGTTTATTCCGGAAACGTGATATAGAGTCACTGGTGAAAGCTCTAACACCTAGTTTATTATTCTGACTGTCGTGAATTACAAGCTGACTGCGACATCATCTTCCAAGGCCATGCAATGGAAAAATGCTCGCCAGAGCTGCAGCTACGGGGAACCGTGGTGTTAAATGCAACTCTGCCCTCTGCAACTCTCATAACCTGTATGCCGGTGAGGGGTGAGCTGCAACATATCACGGGTAGCTCGCATGTCGTGCCAGTCTACTGCCATCACCACGCAGCACTATAATATAAGAAGCTTGGGTCGAAAGATCATGGGCTCAACTTTTAATGGAGTCGTAAAATGCATACCACTCACAAGTCACAAATGGAACGAAACGGCCAACCAGTGCCCATCCGTATTTGTGCTGGTTTGTCTGACTTGAAAGCTACTACGAAAAACCCTTAATTAGTTACGTCAATCCACGGCTCACAACTAAAATATCCACACATATCCATGTCTGCACTTCCTATTTGATGACTGAGACTATTCACAGGACACCGGTGCCTGCTTTAAGACCACAAGTTCCTTGCAGTGTACCACCCCCGGCTCCATTTGCACACTTCACTTCCGTTGTAAACCCGATGAAACGAGACCTAGAAGCATGAGAATAGGAGTCACGACTGATTCGGAGCCGTTCGACAGTACTTAAGCATAGTCATGATTTATGTGAAAACGGGGATATAGAACGTTTCTCAGCAACACAGGGTACTGGGTGTGTTCCAACCTAAGGTACAACTTCAAGTCCGCCATGAAAACTGCCGAGCACATTTCTCGTGGGTAACTATTCTGCCTCCTAAAGCCACTGATAGAAGTGAAGACAAGAAACGGGTTGGTGTGATGGGATCGTGTAGGCACAAGAACGATACGGATTTACATGGTGAAGCAAGCGAACGGAGCAGTTGTTTGGACGACTACGTCCGTTTCGCCTATGCGCTGATTGGTTCTTAGTTGGCTACGCTGGAGAGAGTTTGTTTAACTGATTTAAAGGAAGAATCTCATGAATGCAGAAGCGTCGCCGGTTATCGAATTGACTCGGTTATTTCCATCGAGGTTTCTACATGCTTGTTTTGTTGCCATTTTTGTTGAGATCGCTTTGTCGAAAAACTTTTTGTCCCTGAAGGACCGAGTTTTGCAACAGCTGGACTTTGTCAACGAGCATGCTAAAATCAGCAAGACTCGGTAATTCTCTCACAAATAAAGGTTAGGCGTGCAACGCCCACACAAATTTGACCCACTCGCGGCGGCAATACAGCATATAGCTCACATTAACTCCAGTGTCGGCGTAATACCGAGGGCAGGATACATTGTTTGCGCCGACAATAAACCATCTAACTTACTCCATGCCCCTTAGGTGTGAATACTGTGGCCATGCTGATGACTCATCAAATCTGACTGGCTCAGCTACGCATAGTTGCACATGCTGCAGTGCCACGTGAGTGAAGTGACGCCCTTGTGCTCATTTGCATCTGTAATTCCTGACACTCCATGCTATCCACGAGGCAAAAGCTATTTGGGGTACACCTATGCGGTGTACTTTTGATGTGTTCATGCTACTGTCGGAGAACTATTGACATTTCACATTACTAGTTGGAGGCCAAATCCTGATAGTAAAACCCAGGAGTGTCCATGTAGATTCTCCGCACCTAGCTGGTCATATGGTAGATGCTCAACTGTTCTAGTCGCATCTATAGAGAGGACATGACAGGCCATCTGTGGTACCGTAGTAAAATATAATAACTTCCTTATATGCTTACCCCACGCTGCGCTGACGTGTCAGGTATCATGTTTTGCGTAAGGAGACGAAGAACCCGTCCAAATCACTGCTGATGAAATGGTTTCAGATATTGGACGTCCTTGTTTAAGGTTCTTGGTTGGTTGACGTGTAGAGAGCCTGAAAGCTCCATTTAGTTCCGGTCTCCAGACTCAGTTCCTATGCTGCTAATGATGGTTATAACACATCCAGTGTCCCATCTAGCTGAAAGCTTTGAAGCAATGGTTTTACACTGGTAAAAAATATGTAATTGACAATTGGAATGGCTCTGCATGCTTGGCAAAACCACAGCGCATCAGTCAGAGAGTTGTTGTCGCTTTGCGTCACGTTGACCTGCGCTCCTGCACTTAGGGTTGTATGTAATGACACAGCTAGATCAGGCCAGTCCTGTCCTGACCACCAGGAGCGAAGTTCGGTTCAATACATTCCCCCCCCCCCCAAGTGGAAACGTGTTCAGTGACGACTGTTGTTGATATTTAGCGCTGCACCTGTCCAGTCAGGTAATGTCTAGGATGAGTGGTCCATACGCACGCTGTCCGCGAGCGGGAAGCACATAAATTTATACGTAGTAATGACGATACAATAAACAATTCCGACGTTTGCGAAGGTCACTCAAGGAAGTTGCCTTCGGTCAAAGTTAAACTCATTTCGGTCACGTCATTCCTTGGGTAAACAGGATTGCCTAGCCGCAATTTGAGTTTAACACTCACAGTTAACCGGTTAAGAATAGATGATCGTTATGAAGATAAATAGGATATTATTGACAGAGGCAGTAGAAAAGACAAGGTCGGTGCATGCAAGCATTTTATCAGGGTCGGTTTCATGGCATGCCCGAAGCTTTTAAGGCACAGTTAATAGACCTTAGATGGAGAAGTAAAAGGAAAAATGAGCCACATGATTGTTTTCGGTCGCCGGGTTACTCATTCACACATAATTCCGTGACGTGATAATCGCGTGTTGCTGAAACGAGATGAGCCACAAGCTTATTGGTTCGATGCAACAGAATATGTTCTGCTGCGAAAAGCCACACCCTTACAGATTGACGTATTTGATGATTAATTTAGTTACCTTATCAGAAAGGGTGGGGGAATAACCTTACTTGAGGAATTCAGCTTTCTTTTCCCGTTGAGTATTCCTATCACCGGCATTAAATATGTTCCTAGAAAAAATTGTGTCGTGGAAAGGCGGTGAGACGCCAATTAGCTCGTCTTTATTTTATCTCAAAAATATCCGTTGAGGTCTAAATGACAAAAATACGCATTTAAAATTTGTTGTACATAAGCACCAGGAATTAAATATTGTCACGTCCGCCCATGCGTATCGTAAATTATACCTAAGAGGGAGCCAGCAGACAGGAGTGTTCCACTGGAGTGAGAAGTGCGCAAGAGTAGGAACTACTGCAACAGTAGTCAGTAGTATAGAAGCAAAAACAAACCAGACGGTAACGTGGCGTCCTAACGCAAAAAGAACGCTTGGAGACTGCAGACGGATGTGCACAGAGAAGCAAGGCAGAAGCAACGTTCGACAAGGCTTCGAACAAGTGCGCCACGCAAATTGCAGGAATATTTTTGTGGATAAGTGGAACCGGTGGTGATAAGATCTGGCGCAAATGGCGGATGCTTGTAGGAGATGGAGACAATGGATCTAAGCTACATTTTCGTGTACTGACGCAAAGTACCGTGGACAGCGGAGGATAAATCAGGTCCGAGCGCAGTGGTCTGTGTCTGGAGTTGTATGTGTGAAAATGGGATAATATCAAATAATTCGTGCAATTAACGCTGAAGTATTATACGCGCCTATCTTGTGGGCGGTCTTTCGTTCAGATCGAAACGCAGCCAAGGGGATTAATCGGTTAAATGTCTTATTTTCTTTCGTTTGCCTCTAACCATCTGATGATGAACTCATGATGGGCACATCGATTGCGTAGCAACTTTTCAACCAGTGTTGGACTCTGGGACATAATATAAGTGCGCAGTACGATTGGCTGAAATAAAACTCCACCAATTAGAACCGCGTGCAAATGTGAGAATTTTCGGTGCAGCTTGTCCCCAACAATCTACTAGACGGCTTTCTAATCAGTCAAATGCTTTTCAATGAAACCACAAGAACCAGGCAATCGGAGAGGGGCTCAAAACAATGACTTCCATACAAACGGTGTTGCAGGTCGCAATAGTGTCAATATTTCGATAAAGATGTCAGAGCACCAGAAAAGCTAAAAGTTTGATAGTGCTCGGATATCTGATTCACTATCTACCTTTTGAAAGCATCCAAAATGCATGCATTTCGTGGGTTGGAACATAAGAAAAGGCTTGCCTAGAATAGGACACATAACGGCAACGAAAGCGCTTTCGACAGATTCGACTAAGTTGCTAACAAAATGCATTAGAGTATACAATACTGAGTAAGAGGACCGGTCACAATATGAATTGAAAAACAGCGCAACCGAAACTTCAATAACTTGCCTAACAAGCCGAACTATTAGGTTGTTAAGAGTCTATCCGTACTAATGGAGAAAAGCAGCAGCTTCGCTGAGATAGCTGAGTAATTAATGAACACTAGCGCTGAAACGTACTACGATGATACAATTCAAGCAAAGTTTTGAGGACAAAGAAGGGAGTCACGCTCCAATCGCAACTTACCGTCGGGGTCTAAAGCAAACTTGGTAAACCTCGATCATCCAAGTGGACAGGTGTTGAGCAAACATGCCTTCAATAATTTGGAGAAATATACGTTAGTTCAATAGTGAAGATATCAGATTGTTGACAACGTAAATCACGTCTCGATAAATGCGAACCATAGTAAGAGTATTGTTGCACGAGGAAAACGAAGAAAAAGCAGAACGCCTAATGGCGGTTATTAAAGCATCTACATAACTGAGCTCTAGGTTGGTGAGGGAGAGAAGTGCGAACGCAGATCTTACACATAAAAATGAAATAACATGCGCCACCCAAGAAACGACAGGACAACAGCATATGTGATCAACTGGGTTGTGCCATGCGAAACACAATGACAAGTTCTCATAGCCAATGTCATCTGTGAGCAGCAATCGGATAGCTCACCGGATTGCACCGAGTTCTCTGCATCTGTGTAGATTACAAGTACAAATAACTCAAGTCACGGGGACACATTTCAGATTATTACACTCGTGTGATAAAGTGCAGGGAGCTGAGAGACATGTCCAAGTGCTTTTTGCTTATGGCTAAGAAGAAGGCACAAACAACTGAGTTTGGAAGAATGTCCAGGTTTGGCAGATCCGTCACTAACCTAGATGACCATGTAGTCGACTTCATTTTCAGTGACTGCTTCACATGCCAACGTTCGGGCTACCTTTCAAGAGGCGGCGGTATAAGCGCTTAGTATATCTCTGTATTTGGTATGACTTAATGATATCTCCGCGTAGCAACGGATAGTGCCCACTAAACATCCGAGTACCTTTCTTTGTTACTAGCACGAAGAGTGGTGCAAACCCAAGACATTCTTCCTTGTCTGATATCGTGGAATCTCGGGCGCTACGAGATTACGCTTTGGCCAAGGTTGCCAACGTTGGATAGCGTATTTGACTTGGGAACGCGTGTATGCATTGCGCAACAGGAACAAGGTTGATGAGTCGGAAGACCATGGAGAGAAATCCGTGACACCAAGGTCAGCCCTTAGAAAGTCTGAGGTGTTATCGCTTCTACAGTCCATCAAATCGTTAAAACGACCACATTTGAAGTAATCAAACCAAAGTCTGCGAAGTAACTTCGGGGCGTTAAGGTTCCTATGCATAAAGTTTCCGAAACCACAGTTCACTGTATATGAGCATTTCATTTCAATGGTCTAATACGGATAACGAAGCCAAAGCTGAACACGTCCCGGGATTGGGTTGTGTGAAATAAATAGATTCATAAAATGTGGCAGCAAATAAATCGTACAACTGTGGACTCACTATATGATATGAAATTCCGTCTACTTGATTTCCTGTCGGCTGGCGTGCATAAGCTTTCTCTGCGTCCTGTCGGCTCCCGATAAGCGGGATTTATGTCACATAATGCAAATGGCATAATGTGCAGGCGAGTCGTTCATTAAAAATGGAGGTCGAGGGTGCAAAATGATAAAAGTCGGAAGAGCGTTCCACAGCCAACACATTACAAGAGAGAACAATAATTCTGGTAGCATACCAATCGGCTGTATTGATTTTCCAAATTCGGCTGGTGGGCCCTCAGTACAGGCGTAGCCCCAACACTGACCCTTGTGGAACACGGCAGTCCACATCAATAGGATTGAATGATGTGCCCCGAACCGGCACCTGCAGCCACCACTAGGGAAGGGAATTTCTGATCCATCAAGAGACGGTTTCCAATTTTGTAGGTTTGCAGCCTGCGCAGAAGGATGAAGTGACCCAAGTGGTTGAAGGCTTAAGAACTGTCGAGATTGAGGAACAGTCTCGGTCCCAATTGCCGGTTTTGATCCATCAATAGTTTTATAGTACGTGACGGTGTTTACAAAAGCCATGTTTCTGCGGTGATATGATATTGAATCTCTCTAAATAACCCATCAACGCTTCAGCTATAATCGACTCCACCAACCGTGAGACCATTGGAAGGAGAATCACTGGGCGATAGTTGGCAGCTCCCAAACCAGTACAATACAGGAAATAGGGGTGTTGATGCTCTACTACACATTAGGCACCTGCTGTTCATCTGATCATCTTCAAAATAATCAGGTTAGTGGCTCAGTTATCCTCGCAGCGGCCACTTGCAGTACTTTCAGGGGAACGATCTCAACTCCGTGGGAAGTATGAGTGTGCAACCATAGTAGCTTCTGCAAAACATTCATTGACCTAATTGACGTGGGTATATCTTGATGTCTGGAGGAACGGGACAGGTCCGTGACACATGCAGGGAGCGCGTCGGGATATTACAGTATATTGTAGCTGTAGATCGTTGGTTGCAACCTCGGCGACTTGCGCACATACATTTGCTGAGATGAGTTATTGAATGCCAGAGACTGTTCACGTGGTTGTACCGAAGCTTATTATTAGTGCAAACCCTTTCCGCTAGGCTCTGCTGGTGTACCGCTTTGTCCTTACTGACCAGTGTTACACAGTGATTGCAACGCACCAAATAGTTGCTCCAGTTGTCAGGGCTGGGGTCCCCTCCGTACGCACGCCAACTGCGAATTTTGCTGCGGATGAATGATGTGGCTCTTGAAGAACGAAGTGATCTATTTCACCATGTCAATATATTAGGTCCCTGGACTTGCCAACTTGCTCCATCCAGACAGCATCAATGGAATCATTCGCCAAAATATCCCAGGTGGCTTCCTCCAGTTCTGTTAGTGTATCGTATTGTGCGGTTGTACGGAAAGTTAATGAATTCCCGTAGACACTTCGCATGACGGTTTTAACGATTTGGTGGACTGTAGAAGTTGTAACACTTCAGACTTTCTCAGGGCTGACCTTGGTGTCACGGATTTCTCTCCATGGTCTTCCGACTCATCAACCTTGTTCCTGTTGCGCAATGCATACACGCGTTCCCAAGTCAAATACGCTATCCAACGTTGGCAACCTTGGCCAAAGCGTAATCTCGTAGCGCCCGAGATTCCACGATATCAGACAAGGAAGAATGTCTTGGGTTTGCGCCACTCTTCGTGCTAGTAACAAAGAAAGGTACTCGGATGTTTAGTGGGCACTATCCGTTGCTACGCGGAGATATCATTAAGTCATACCAAATACAGAGATATACTAAGCGCTTATACCGCCGCCTCTTGAAAGGTAGCCCGAACGTTGGCATGTGAAGCAGTCACTGAAAATGAAGTCGACTACATGGTCATCTAGGTTAGTGACGGATCTGCCAAACCTGGACATTCTTCCAAACTCAGTTGTTTGTGCCTTCTTCTTAGCCATAAGCAAAAAGCACTTGGACATGTCTCTCAGCTCCCTGCACTTTATCACACGAGTGTAATAATCTGAAATGTGTCCCCGTGACTTGAGTTATTTGTACTTGTAATCTACACAGATGCAGAGAACTCGGTGCAATCCGGTGAGCTATCCGATTGCTGCTCACAGATGACATTGGCTATGAGAACTTGTCATTGTGTTTCGCATGGCACAACCCAGTTGATCACATATGCTGTTGTCCTGTCGTTTCTTGGGTGGCGCATGTTATTTCATTTTTATGTGTAAGATCTGCGTTCGTACTTCTCTCCCTCACCAACCTGGAGATCAGTTATGTAGACGCTTTAACAGCCGTCATAGTTGCCCGGTTGGGAGCAATTGCCTTAAATTTATTTGTGATATTTTTAAGGTTTGTTGGCTAGAATTTTGAAGTTGCGCTGGTTGTCGTGTCAATTTGAACGCTGTTTTTCACTCTGAAAACCGATCATGTTATTTGAATGAGTGTGCTGAAATACCACAAATTACTATAGGAAGGCACACGTTGACCTTACGGGCACAACGTTACGCGTTCATTGGTCGAGGCTTGCCCTGTGACTGTTGCTGATGGAAACCCGTCGCATTTCGACTAGCAACCGCGTAGGCGCAGATACATAGTTCTCTGTTTCAGTGCTTTATATATTGCTATTTTGATTGACATTGTGCAGTTTCCGCAGTGTTGCCAGATATGCATAAGTCTTGACTGATTCAATGTATTTTTGTCATTCAGCGCTGCCTACAACGATCGACAGATTTGTGAGAAGCAACAAGGAACTAGCAGGTAAGTGCCATAAAATGAGTTGCTTGTCGATCTGATTAGTATCGAAGCGTCATTGCGCAGCTGTTTTCTGAGCCGTTTTACTTACTGCTCATCACCACGCTCAGGTTGGTTGCAACTGGATTGATAAACACTAAGACTGATGTGTCTTGCAGTATGTCATCGTTTTCACGCGAGACTGCCATTTGACAAAACATATTGCAGCATCGGGAGGTGCCAAAGAACAAGGCACATGGAGCATACCAAAGCGGCAACACCTTCAGTTTAACATCCTCTAGTGCGAATTGGGACTAAATATGCCAACGTAATCAACGCTCAGTGGCCATATTTGATTCACACAGGGGTAAGCACAACACTGTAGTGTCGACCACTCTGTCTCCGAACCTAAGTTAAAATCACGTCATCCCTACGGATAAATGAGACTTTAAAGAGCCACATAAGCCTTCCAAATCCACAAAGCAAACTCTTCAGTATCTTGGTCACGTGAAGTAACTAAGGTGTACAGATAAGTGAACCAACCAACATTTTAGAAGATATTCGGTAATAATGGGAATTTGTGGCGTTGTAGCCGAGATAATTTACTATGTTCATCGTGCTTGAGAAAACAAGTTGGAAGCTGAGCGATGCGTAATGTCCTCAATCTTAGTTATCACCGTCTAGCGCTGGTTGGAGAACAAATCTAATTGTCTCGACGGAATGTTTCCGAAAAAAATACTGTACGTTTATCAGCGGGATCGTTACTAAACGGCACAATGTACAAAGTGTCTTACCCTGAGCGCAAGCGTTTGTAGCGACTAATAGGAAGGCATCATCAAAACAATTCAATGCGAATTCCTTTGAGTTCGTTCAAGGAAAGTGTCAGTACGCCCGAACTATGACGGTGAGCTGTGCATAAAAATTAATTTCAAAGGCATCATACGTGACCGAACCAGCCTTTAACGCGAAACCCCAGGGTTCGCCGTCAATTGTTGGGAATGGTTGTAGCTCCAGCGGCGGATGAGCGTTGGGTCGTTCTCCGAGCTTTGCGATTTATCTGCAGAGGTTTCGATGTTATATTTCACAGTGCCAACATTGAAACTCCACTGATTGCTAACTAGTCGGATACCAAAAATTTTGTGAATAAATCACCCAGCTTGCTGAACAACACGACACAAACATCTGAGATTCATTAAAACTGGGCTACCACTGAAATCCAATGGCACAACTAAAAAATAGTCGATAAAAGAAGTGGGATGAATTGCACCACGAGTAACTACAGTTGATAGATCACTCAAACGTCAGCTCATCTCCGGCAGAATGAAAGCGAAATGAATACTTACATACGCACAGCAATTTCGCATAGTGAAACGGTATGCTAGCTGTCTTTCAGCGGAAGCTCACGTCTTCGCTGGTTGACATCAGTAAGCTAACAAGAAGTAAAGTTCAGCTGGGTGACAGCAGCAAACGATTTGTTTGGAGAATAATTGCGTAGGTAGTTGATGCAGTTATTCTGTTAAGAAAAGCCCCTTTAGCTTTGTGACAGTCGGTTAACACTCTCAGCTGCGGCAGTATTTTGAGCTGATGATAGTGCAGTGGGTTCACCATTGCTGTTCACTTGGGTTTCAGCTAGTCGGGTGAGGCGGATACTAAGTTAACGAAATCCCAGCCATGCAAAAATCTTCAGAAGATTCATGGAAGCAGAGGGCAGGTTACATCCAAACGGTGTTTGGAATGTAACGCAGTGCAAACGAACCATGTTTTGGGGAACGCATGTCTAGATAGCATAACAGCTCTGACAGATCAGTCGGGCCGTTGTGCAGTTTTGACTCGCCGTTCCGCTGCATACCACCATCCACAACGTATTGGTAGTGATTATTCTGTGCAATATGTATTCTTGGTCCGCAGTGATCAGCAAGTTCACCGATTTCATAACTCATGCTCGGTTCTCTACATGCTACTCATTAGTAGTGCACCAGACTGCAACCCCCCGAAGTCTCCGCAGCCGCCGACCTCCCACGCAGTCTCTCCAGCATTTGACGCTACTCCAGGTATGCCTTAGTTTCCGTCCCTCGTGCGTATCACTAGCTCAATTCGGTAACCTGAACTCGTCGCCTATCGCTCTGTCAAGCTTTGGTGTATACGGTCCCTTGTAGACCGAGCAGAACATACGGTCTCCACCACTTCCGAAGAAGTTTTCTCCCGCCTGGGCCACATAGGGTCGCATGTTGGTGATCTCTCTCTACCACACCTTCGAAGCGATTGGAAACCCATGGGTTTTCCATTTTTGGCTTTGGAGTTTTCCATCCTTCATGTCTAGGTTGCTTTGAGGTTACGGTTAGCTGCCTTCCTGCTATCCTGTACCGCTTTTGGACGTATCCCGCACATTGGCCATACTCTCGGTTTTGCCGTCACACATTAACTGGAAAAGCGATTTCTCGGTGCTTGCTTGCTTGCCTGGATGCACGATGAGCATGCAGAAGTGGCCGCAAAGCATCTTCAAGTTCAATTGGTACCGGAACAGTAGGAAGATCCCCGGGAATGTTCCACCTTCGAAATCAACATTGAGCCAACAGGGAATGCGGTGGATTGATCTGACGAAGGAGAGACAGATAAAAACGGACGATTCATATGGTTAAGTAAACAATGCCCACGTGCCCGGCACTAGCAGTCCCCGCTATGCCGGCCACGTGAATAAAAGAAGACAAAGGGAATAAGGGAAAAGAGAAGTTTATCAAAGTACATAAGTAATATTGAGCTACAAGTGAAAATGAATTAAAGAGAAGTGGGTCGGAATATAGTAAGATCTTAAGGCATGAAGGGGAATATTTCAAACTGGAGACCGAGGGCGTCAAGTCGATGTTCAAACCTTTCACCGTCGGTGCCATTACAACTTCTGCGGGCAGCGCGTTCCAATAACCAATGACCCTACGCGATAACCGAAAAACTGCCCCAACCCGGTCAGATTGGGGTTTGTGCAACTTCAATGGGTGGCCACGAAGGGTTGGTACTCGAGTTTGGGTGGAACAGTCCAGTTAAATCAGGACCAGTTTGACCCATTAGTAGGCGATGTGTGAGGATCAAGTCGCCCCGAAGTCGCCTGTAATGCATGGAAAACATATCCAACTTACGTAGCCTCTCAGGGTACGTCAACTTCTTTAACCCACGCACCATTTTCGTCCCAGACCGCAAGACCCGTTCAACTGCCATCCTGTCACGAACGAGGCAGGCGGGACAAATATGTATACAGTATTCCAAGTGCGGCCCTACAAAAGCCGAAAATAATCTAACGAACATTTTAGTCGTCATGATCTCCAATGACCTCCGGAGCACCCACAACATGCCGTGTCCTTTGCGAGAAGCTGCCACCCAATGTTCACTGAACTTAAAGTCGGGTGACAGAAATACTCCTAGGTCAGCTGGGAATTGTACCCGCGGCATTTCGTTGCCACCAAGCAATTAATAAGTCGGTGGGTCATTTGGTCATACGCATAAGACTGAGCATTTCGTGAGATTCAAGGGCAACTGTCACAAAAGGGACCAGTCCTAAAGTCTATAAAAAGTCCTTTGAAGAGTCAGTGGACCTGTCGGATCGTTTATTGTGAACCAGAACTTCAAGTCATCCGCAAGCATTACGGATGGCACTCCCAGCTCATCAGGTAAGCAGTTAACGTATAAAGTGAGACCCCATTGAGAAAGCATTGTTGAAAAGACAAACTGGAACCCACACGAACACTCATCTCTGTTCCGATTAGGAAATCTGAAATTCATCGTAAGCCAAGTCCAGAAATACCGTAGGGTTGCAGCTTGTACAAAACACGCGAATGCGGAACGGAGTCAAAAGCTTTGGAAAAGTCAATGGATATCACGTCCATTGCTTTCCCTCGCTCAACAGCTTCGGCCCAATGTTCTCGAGCCAACAAGTTAGTAAGACAAGAATAAAACTTAGGAAAGGCATCTTGAGAGAGGTTGAGCAACCCAAACGCTCTTAAAAATCCTTGGAGAGCGTCTCTCGCAAGTATTTCCAACAGCTTAACCAGTACGCACGTCAAACTGATCGGTCTATAGATTTCAGGGTGTTGGTCACCTTTAATAAAAGTGGGACAAACAATAGTCTCTTCCCAGTCGTCGGGTACAGAGCAGCCTCCCCCTTCATTGCGAGCCGTGCTTTGAGCCTGAGATTATTCCTCCAAGTCAATCTGTTTGTCTGCGCATGGTAAGCAGCGCTTCACGCCTCCTCAATGCCAATCTTCACCAGATTAATCCGAAATTCGTCTCTTACAAAGCATAAGTATCGACTGGTAGGTATGGTCTCCGGAATTCCAGGGCTCCCTAACAAGCGGTTTTCTCGGAGGATGTATTACTGTGGCAACACGGGATTTCCGGGGTTTCAATTAAGCGAGTTAAGTGCTCAGTCATCACAATTATATAATCGAAGCCAAAAACGGCTAGGCGAACAAGCTTGCTTTCGGTGGTTCGCATCAGGCCAATACACCACGAAAATAAGAATAAAACGTACACTGGGTATTCAAATAAGATGAATCAATGAAGTGAATCGACCAGTCAATGAGATCAAGTGACGACACTGGCTAGAGAAACAGTAGTGGAAGGGTTAAGCGTGGCGTCATTACATGGGAAGCTTGAGGCCATGGTAGCTGTAGAGCCAGTACAAATTTTTGAGTTGGAGTTATGGAGTCTAATAGAGATTGCCTCCGCTGTCGCTAATAGGCGACATCGGAGGGCTCGCGTATGGCATCCAGATATCCTGTAGATAGGCCGGAAGGCCTCTCGCACATTCACTTGGTGATTTGAGTCTTCCAAATGCCACAGCAACGCGCTGACTACTGTCTTTCTGACACCAGTGTAGATCCACGCCGGGAAATGTTCTCGGACTCTCTCAGACAGTCGCCTGATCGTCTTTCCAATATACCTTGCTCGACACGAGCGAGAAACAAGAGAACATCATAGACTCTGACACTTTTGAATAAGCCAGACCTAGTGGAACAGTGATTCCGAGGCCTTATGGC